TTCTTACAATTGAGTAAATTGATGTGTGTCCCCTTTACTTTGTATGTAAAACTTTGTGTACCCTTTTTTTTTTCCTCTTTCCTGTCTAGCTCCTTGCTAGGCGGGTGTTAGTTTCTTTTATAATATTTGTTGTTTCCATAAAGAAATAGAAAATAATATGTTATAAGCATTGGTAATTGATTAACCAGTCATCGATCATCATTTTGAAATTAGCAAAATTGTTGAGTGCTTCAATTTCTCTATTTTTTTGATCTTGTTCTAATCCAATCCACCAAAAAATATCACGCGGAACTCCATAAGTTAATCCTGTAAGTGCTTATTTGTCTATTTTGATCTATTTACAATCAACGTCTGTAAATGAAGTTTAGAAATGAATTTGATGAAAAATCTGAAATTGAAGAAGCAATACGAAGGAAATGAATTAAGAAACTTTTCACGAGGAAGTTGGCTCTATACCAGTTGAAAGGACAAGTTCCATATTCGAATGACAAAGATGGTGCATATATTAAGAATTAAATGCTCAATCACAAATGACACTAGAATAAGAGCATTCGTGGATTTTCAATGATTTTCTATTAACAAACATGATCAAATTCTTACATATATAGTAATACGAACTCAAGATAACCGAAATATAACTAACTTTGTACATGAAGTTCAACTACTTATTTATAATGACAAACTAAGCAGGAGTTAAACAACGATACATAAAATTGTCATATTCGTTTAATGAACATAATTTGTTGATGATCATATTCGTTTGAACTATTGCAAAAGAAACACTATATAAGTATTAAGTATTTGCGTGTATTAAGACAAAACAAGTATAAAAAATTCATTTTTTATTGGGGAGGTGATTCGTACACAACAATTTTTTTTCCGCACACAACAAATTGTGCTTTAAAAGGTTGTATTGTACAACAATATAAAATACAAATTGTTGGTTATGGAAAAAAATTGTTGTATACAAATCACTTTCCATTAGAAAATCATCTTCAACGGTCTTGGACTTAGTCATTTCTCCGGTTATTCACCATTCTGCAAATTAACTTTGATTTTCTAACCGAATGTTAAGTGGGAGAGTTGATAGTAAAGTTAGATGGAAGATTTATAGATATTATTCTTTTCTTTTTAAAAGAGTATATAAAAAAAATTATAGGGGCCAATTTGCATGTCTCATTTAGGAGTACCTTACCACGTGCCACTACAAAATAGAAAACCAACCTTATGTAAAACATTTCCTGCAAAATAAACGGGAAATCTCCATCAATATTCAAATATTTTATTCTAATTTACCAATAAATTTCAAACCAAAAATTGTTTAAAAAAACATGAATTATCAGTAAAAATAAGATTTGATTTTTTTTTCGTTTACTAGTTTCTCATGGTTCCATTAAAGTCTTATTATTTTATCTTAATTTACAACTAAGTCCAAACTGAAATTAAGTGATGATTTGACAATTTTTCATTGTAACATATATTTTACCGGTTTCATTGTTGACATGGATGTATAGTCATTAAATAGTTGTTGAGATTGATATGTTATGTTATATAATACTATTTTTACCATAAAACTTAATATCCTACTGTATTGTATGTATTTTTTGAAATATGAAATGCATCCAACGAAGACTGCAATAATTCTATAAACTAGCAACAACTTCGTCATTTTTGAAGTTTATAAAAAAAATCAAATTGTCTATATAATCTTATGTAAGCCAGCATATTCATCTCTCAAGGTCATTTCCCACCGTTTTTTTTCTTCAGAAACACACATTGTACCGGTTTCATTGCTGAACTGAACGCATAGTCATAAATGAGTTGATGAGATGAATATCAAGTTTTACGGTAAACGTAATATTATACATCTCAATGTATATATCTCATCACCTCATTAATGATTAGGTGTCCAGATCAAACATAAAACCAATAGCATATATGTTATAGTGAAAAAAGGGCCAAACCATCATTTAATTTTAGTTTGAGACTTAATTCGTAAATTATGGTAAAATAATAGATTTTAATGGAACCAGATCTGTAGTGAAACCAGTACACCACGGAAAAAAACAAAATCATCATTTTTATTGGTAATTAATGTTTTTTCGTAAGCAATTTTTATTTTGAGATATATTCATAAATTAGAATAAAATATAGAGATTTTAAAGTAGATTTCCCAAATAAATGGGTAGTGGTGAACTTTTCTTAAATTTCATCTAATTTTTACTAAAAACTTAAACTTGATGGTTATATTTGTTTTTCCTAGTAGCTAAATTATGACCCTTTTTTTGTTCTTATATTATGTTTGATTTTATCTATAAAAATAGGATAGATTGTCAATAAATAAAAGGGAAATGTTTTTATAATTTGTTTTTATAAAAGTACAATCCATACGCATTCTAATATAATGTTAAATTACTCCTGATTTCATATTTGAAACCAAGAGCGGATTTATAGTGGTTCACAGGGTTGCACCGGCAACTACTGGATTTTTTTGTATTAATGTAAAAAAACATTTTTATTATTATGCACCTATAAAGAAACGAGTTTATTATTATTGAAGTTCATACATATAATCAAAAGTTAGAATGGTTAAGTTGGTCAAAGGTGCAAGTTAAAGTTCTCATTTGGAAAACGGCTCCAGTTCAATTCTTTCTCAAGACAAGTTTCTTTGTTTAATTTTACATTCACTTCTCCTTTTACGGACCAGTAACAAAGTTAGTGGCCCCCAAAATTATCTTAGCCAACAAAAAGGGTTTGGTGAATATAACTTGTTAAAACTAATCCGTTTTCAATAAAACTCAATTAAATCACTTTCTTTGTTGTTTAGAATTACTATCTTAATCGTTTACTTTTTCATTAACTTATAACAATTTAGTAAAAAATCATTTTTTTTTTCGTAGAGCTATATACAAATTCTTTGTGACCCATGACCTTTCATAAATTTCTATTTAATTTCTTCTCGACGTAATAGCTTTTGCATCATAAAAAAACGACAAAACAATAATACAATAATATGATAAATTTTGTGAAAATAGTTTTATGTTTAAAAAATGTTAATTTGACGATATATTCATGGATTGAAACTACGTAATTTTAGTATATTCTATATGTAAGGTTGTATACCTAACCGTGTTATATCATTTTTGGCGTAAAGTAATTACCTAGCGAGCTAGCCTCCTCCTTTGGGGGTCCTATTTTAACATTTCCTTCATACATATTCGCAATACATATGTTTCAAACTAAACAACTGTTTTTCTTCATAATAATTAAAATTTATGTTAACTTAATTTATGTCTCATTCTACATTTTGAATTGTTTCGTTTGTTTTGTCAAGCAAAATGTATTGAACTTATAAAAATGCATTTATTAGTTGACATTTGTATATTATATTTTGCTTTAAACAACGGAACTGATAAAAATGCATTAACTTGGAGTGAAATTTTTGTAATATGTCTTCAAAACTTTGTACAACCACAACCCACACGGAAACAAGCTACACGAGACCAAGAACTTGCCCATGAAAAGACCAATTTGCCCTTCACGAAGTTTTTCTACAGTAGTTTGTTCTGTTTAATGCACTTGTAATTTTTCTTTTGTTATATTTGATCGGAATTTTTTTGTGCACCCACTGATACTTATTCCTGCGTCCGCCCTTGTTTGAAACAATATGAAACTTGAATCTTCAACGTCGTAAAAAGAAAACATCTCATCACACTGATAAATTGAATACATATTTATTTTTTTCTACAAAGGACATGTCTATATATATATATATATATATATATATATATATATATATATATATATATATATATATATATATATAGTTTCATAAATACCGACTTCCATTGGATTTGGTTATATGATCTAAGGGTGACAAACATGTCGTGTTTATATTCGTGGTTGGTTGAAACTTAAACGGGTTGAGATAGGTTGACCCTAACCCGACTCATTTAATTATCGTGTCGTGTCAACCCGTTTATTTCCACATATAGTGGATGTGTTTAGGATTTAGACCTTGTAAGCATGTTACGATGTGTTAGATTGAAAAACTAAATAAGTTGAAAGAGTAGGAGTTGATGGGGGTGGAAATGAAAAGTGAAAAAACATGAAAGAGTAATAGTTGGGGAAACATAAGGGGTGAAATTCTCAAAAAGTTTAGAGGTTAGAAGTAACATTGAAGAGAAACTAAATGAGTGAAATTGTGGAGTATGAAAAAATTAAAATTAAAATTAAGTATCGACTAAGATTACTAGTTAGTGGGTTATACATTACAAAATAACTCAACCCTGAGTTTTTATTTGGTTTTGCTTTTTGGGCATGTATAGTTTACCTAAAAGATTAAAAAAGTTGTGTAATCACATAAACAATTTATTTTGGTGTTGAGTCATGAGTCATGTTAACATGTTAATTAAATGGGTTGAAATCTCTCACAAAACTCGTTTATTTGTTTGTCGGGTTCGTGTTGTGTGTAATGTCGTACGGATAATTGTCATCCTTAATATCATCTGCATTGCATTGATGTCTATTTGTTTTAAATAATTTATATTGGATACGTAAAATGACTAAGACCAATGCCGTTCTTACAAAAACAAAGAGAACCCGGTTCTTATCTCCAAATTATTAGCATATAATTATTTAGATTCTAGTGACACGATGTTTACTACACATTATATAACTGATGGTTTCACACATATTCCTTAAATCTATTATTTTTATAATGTGCTTTTGTTTTCAACGGCTAGCTTTTGGAACATTTTTTCTCAAATAGTATTTGGTCCTATGTATTCTTGGTCCCCTACAAATTAAGTTCTATATGATATTTATGCTTTGTGATGGCACTTTGGCGACGGGTCTCTTGCAAATAACTCTTTGTGACGGAAGTCAAGTGTTTTTGAGGAATTAGTATACTTACGAAATTGAGTTTTTCTCTATACATGAAGTTAGAAATCAATGATTCCAAAATGTGAAAATAAGAAGCAAATCGTTGAACCAATTAACTCCCGATAGATACAATTAAAGAATAAGAGTCAATGGAGTACATATAGTTAATTGTTGTCACAACTTCATAAACCTCTCTTGGATGAACTCACTTGCATCCTGAAAATCAAGAGAATTTTTAACTACTTTAATTAATGAACTAAAACAATGTAAAGGTGGTTGACAATTCGGGGATTTTAAGCAAGTGTCCATCGACCCTTTTTTTTGGCTAAACAAGAATATATTGAAAATGACTTCAACAAAGTTCAAGTGGGATTTACAAATGCCTTTGGATGTAAATCCTTTCAACTAGAAATGCATTATCGACACACTTGGGTGCAAACGGTATAAAAATGACATCAAATCTAGGTGTAGAAATGTAGATTGTTTGGCATAGTAAAAAAGGGTTTCGTATTGAACATTGTATTTATCAGAAGAAATGACACTAAAATATTGTGAAGCCATATAATGTCGCAACGCTAGGTACGTGGGATCTCTTTTAAATACAATTGAGCACATCGTTCAAAAAGTTCTAGTCATTGATTGAGACTTAGCGAAAGAATATTTTGCACAAAAGTTAATCATTCAAATGAGATAAATGAGAGATTGGTGGACAACCTTATTCCCTTGGTGTTTTACATTTGTAGCATTCCATTCTACTTGCATAATTGTGAACTCCACAGCCTAGCCTGTTCGGAGTTCAAAACTCAATCAAAATCAAATTTTACCAAATATTTCACGTTCAAATACTTTATGCAAGTGGGAAAATGATATTCTTCTTTTCCTTTAATTTAATACTTCATGCAGGTTTTGAAGCTTTTAATTCAAAATTCTACTAGATATATAATATATATGTTACCTATTGCAAATCCAATCGCCACTTTTCCAACCTGGAAGGGCACTAGAATCGTGAGTGTAATAGCCTGCGGTTGATGCTGCTATCATGGCAGCTGTTGTGTAATCTTTAAGTGCACCACATCTATAACACACAGTTCTACTAGCATAATTGTGTGAACCGCAATTAAACGTTGAACAATACCAATCGCCTGCTAAAACTTCTGTTCTATCAATGCCATAATTCGACATTTCTGCAGGTGTAGCAAATTTGGGACACTGGCATCTTTGACATGCATCACGTTTCTTGAAATTTATATGTTGGCATGCACCACACATCCAGTCTCCATTGCTCATTTTCTTTTGTTGTAGGTTCACAACCTGAAATGATTGATACAAAACTGTCACATTTTAACTCAAATAAGGTGATAAAAAGTAAAAGAATTGACGCAAGTTTTTTTTGTTGGACATTTAGATGATCAGTTTTGGTTGTTTAGAATTTAGATTATAACATTTGTTTACTAACCTTGAGAAAGATGGTTTATGTGAGTTTGTGGTTTTCCAGAATGAACTTGAATGGTTTATATACTTGCCAAAGGATTCCAAAAGTGGGACCCTCATAATAAATCAAGAAAAACCCGGTCCGTCGCGTAAATATCCCAATTCAACAAACAATCAAATCTCTTAAGCATCCTTCAAGAATAAAACATATAGATATAATAATGTGAACCAAAATCGTATAATCTGTATTTATGCATGATCTTAATAGCTCCTCATGGGATTCCAAAATTAGAAGAAAAAAATGTGTGTATACGTATGCCTTCCTAACTCTTTAAGATAGTTTGGGAAAGAGCATTTGAGATGAAACATAATTAAGCTACTGACACTAGATTTTGAAACAAAACTAGTCCCATGTTAATTTCCAAGAGACCAAGAGTATACCTCTTTATATGATTCCCAGCTGAGTTATTTGAATAAAAAGCCATCATTTTCATTTTAACCAATACGTACATATATAGTAAGCTGTTAATTTGAAGGCTATACAAATATGTTTATTAGAAAAGTTGAAAGAATATGATATATCCATTATACTTTCACTTCATTGATTGTTGACATGGATGAACCCACTCAAGAGATGACATGGAAGCCATATGAGCATAAACTGTATCGACTCCATGACCTTCATGTATCTGTTTATACATATACACTGTATTAACACATGACATTTCCGTTCCAAGAAAAACAACAAACGCATGAACTTCACTACTAGAAAACTAGGGCAATAGCTACGACACAATCCGTAGGTATTCCGTAGGTATAAGGCAATACCTACGGATTTGCTACGGAAAAAGGCATGTAGCATAAATGCTCGTGGAAAATTTATACCTACAGATTTGCTACGGACTAGCTACGGAATACCTACGGCTTTTTCCATAGGTATAGTAGCTACGGATTTCCTACGGATTGCCGACGGGGCCCACCATTAACTTTATCACCTACGGATTTCCTACGGCCTACAAATCCGTAGGTATTCCGTCACTGATTACTAATTATTTATTTTTTTTAAAAACAACAAAAAATTATAAAAATTCCAGTTTTTTATGTCTAAAATATTGAAACCCCCCCATTACATTAAACTTATAATAATATGGAAATTCAACGACAAAACTAATAACATTACAATAAAACTATTGAACATCATCAAAACTAATAACATTACAATAAAACTAATAAACAAATTCGTTACCATTATTATATATTACCATTATGTTTATAGGATATAGATCCGGTAAGAAGGAAATTTTTGGTAGGAAGGTAAGAAGTTTTTTTTCTATATATTTTTTTGACGAACAAAATAAATGAATCACTAGATGGTTCATTTGTAAGATGATTCCCAAGAAAAAATTCTTAAAAAAACATCTTTATGATTCATTTTTAAGTAAATTAAAAAAAATTCACTTTTATGACAATTTTAGTGAATAACAACAAAATCATTTTATAAATGAATCATCGAGATGTTTTTTTGATAATTTTTTCTTGTGAATCATCTTACAAATGAATCATCTAATGATTCATTTTGTTTGTTTGCGAAAAAAATATGTAGAAAAAAAACTTCTTACCTTCCTACCAAAAATTTATTTCTTATTAGTATGATTTTTAATTGTTTGGATCTTAAATATGTAAAAAATGCGATCCCAAAAAAAAAAGTTTTAAGACGAATATTAATGAAAAATAATAATATTGGGAATAATAATAATAATAATAATAATAATAATAATAATGGAAATTAATAAAACCATTGGTATTCTGTAGCTATTCTGTAGCTACCTTCCTCCGTAGGTAATCCGTAGCTATTTTGTAGCTAATTACCTACGGAATACCTACGGATTCACTTCCGTCGCTAATCTGTAGCTATTACGTAGGTAATTACCTACAGAATAGCTACAGATTCACTTTCGTCGATATTCTGTAGCTATTCTGTAGCTATCCCGTTACTAAATTAGGGCATCCCATTCCGTAGGTAATTACCTACGGAAATTTTCCGTAAGTATTTTTTGTAGCAAAACACATTGTTTTCTAGTAGTGCTTTAACTAAAAACACTTGGCAATGCCCAAAAGTGTCACTAACTTTGCCTACATGTCTATAGAGTTGTAATAGTTTTTTTGGACTCCTTTTGGCATCATTAAGAGAATCTATGATTTTTTTTGTCTCTCGCGTATTTAAATTTGCGACTGTTTTTTTGGAGTTACACAGAGTTTGTGACAGATTAGCACCTTGCTATTTATTTCTATATATTGCAAGTGACGCTTTTTCTAGTAGTGCCTTTGTGTAGGTTTATTTAGTTTGGGTTGGATTTGAGACCAAAAGTTTCGTTTTCTCTTCCATATACACGAATAAATTCCTTATAACGTAGCAATGCACCATTAGAGAATTCTATTCTTCCTTTGTTTCCATGCCATGTCTTCGATTCTTTTTTGCAATAATTCAAAATCCCACTTGAAGATTCATTTCATGTGCTTTTGTTTGTAATAATTCAAAATCCCACTTGAAGATTCATATATCCGATCATTTGTGCCATACACATTGCTTTCTTCATCACTTTATGCATGTGTATATATAACTTAAACATCAATATGTACATTTGCGCTAAATTTTGAAAATTACCTTTAATCGTATATTTTATTTGGCAAAATCATGTGTACTTTCTAAATATCTCATTCATAATGTTGTAATCATTTCGTAACAAATTTCAAATAAAGCATGTTTCTGAAAACTTTCTTTTTGAAACTACCTATAAGATGATTAGTGACACCACAGGGCAACACATATATCATCGCAAAAGCAAGATTTGGGAGTTGAAATCCCACAGCAAGTTGGAAGTTCAGTTGAAGAACAAAAGGGCATTCTTTACCAATTGCAACCATACCTCCCACGTGGACACGAGTGGATAACAAGAGATAAAAATGGTTTCGATATCTCGAACTCCTCAAAGAAGAATATTCTTCCGTGACAGGTGGACATTAGTGATGGATAACACTATACTTGATGCACTGGGCACTAATCTTACTACATGTCAAAGCTTTAGTTGATTCGATAACATTTGTTTGTCGACTTACGAATTGATAAGCAAGAACCCAATCACTATTCATAACATTTGACTTCCCTTCTTTCTTTAATTGGAAGAGCTATACGATGCTTGAACCTATAAAATCACATACAACCACACGAATCTTGGATGGAAAACCCTTGCGGGAAAAACCACAAGACACTCTTATTCACTTGATAAAATCGACAATGGAGGGAGGTTACTTGGCGTAAACATCGACCAAGGATAGAAGTAGAAGAAAGATGATGATATGAATAAAAATCTATATCTAGATGTCTTGGTATAATAGTCTTACAATTCTAGTAATATTCAAACAACCCAATTAAAAAGAAAACATTCTTAAATAAATGTGATTCATGATAATCATCTGATATTCATAATAACTAGCGGTGTTCACCAAACCGTATAAACTGTCCACACCACACCACACCACACCACATCGCACTGCAAAATGCAGTTTAGGATGTATGTGGTGCGTTTTGCGGTTTTTAATTATGAATCCGCGGTTTAAACCGCGGCACAGTATATATATATATATATATATATATATATATATATATATATATATATATATATATATATATATATATATATTATTTTAGATTAAAGAAATGAAAGGAACGTCAAACGTGTATTGTATTTAATGAATAAGGTTTGATAAATCAGTAACAATTTGTAAGTCATAAGAATTATATGTAGTTTGGTTCATGTTAACTTACACCACCAAAGTAAACTTCATATTATGAAGCTACATTTATATCAAGGATACAATTACGGTATATTAAAATATATAAATAATTAATTAAGTAAAGTATTACATTTATGTTTAAAGCAACACCATTTTGGGTTTTCTACTTTAGGTACAATGTGTCCACTGTTATATCACACGAAGAAGAAGAAAGCCAAACTAAAATTTTAGTATTTCTTTTCCAAAATCCAAAAGAAATACCTTCATTTTGTCAAACGTTTCGGGGGTTTTTTTTTTCACTTTTTTAAAAGTTTTAAAATAATGTAACTCATCAAACCTACAACCCGCATCTTAACCGCACAAATAGCCCGCACCAAACCGCACCGCATAGTGTGGTTTTGAACTTCCGCGGTGCGGTCTGTGATTTCATAAAAACTCAAACCGTATATGCGGTGCAGTTTGCGGTTTTGACTATAAACCGCACCGCGCACACCCTAATAATAACCATCTAGTAATACCCTCACATAGATGATCATTTCGGAATTTACATGAAACATAAACCAAGAGGTAACAATGTAAAAAAGTTTTATAAAAGGAAAGTAACGTGCTAATAGGTCACATTTAAATACAACTATTTCTGAAAATGTTGATCTGACATTAAACATTGCCATGGAAATTAAGGTTTCGAAACATTTTTAACAAACTATCTTGAGACAAAACCAAGATTACCAATTAACCCTTCAATCTTCAATGGCGATCCAAATATAAGTATGTCCAAAAGTCTCTAAGTCAATGTGCTATACTCATATTTCATCCATTATGTGTAACTCGACTCACTACAACAAATGTTGTCAATAGCGACGATGACATTAGCGCCTACAACCACTATTAGTAGCGATATAAAACATAGGTGTTTGGTGTCGTGTGGTGTCGCCGCTAATATTAGATGCCGCCACTAATGACATAATCATTATAGCATGCTTCATGATCCGTATGACGCCCCGTACAATATCATTATCAGTGACGTTAATACCGGTGAAAATTTTCACTGCTAATGTTCT